GGTCAATTCAGCCACTGACTTTGAACCTTTGCACAGAGTGAACACCAACTGTTTGATTGTGAGATAATTAAGAGTATTTCTGCTGATGGGGAGAGATGAGAGAACGAGAAGCACAACCATGAATTTGTCCTCTGAGTGAGACTGAGTGTTGTCTCGAGGCATCTGTGGAAGAACGGCCTCTACTTCTTGATGTGGTCAAAAGGGTTTTGCTTTTAAAAACACAATTGTTGCTTAAAACCTGCCCTTTTTGTCAGATTTTCCTTCGACTTCGCCGACTTCCACAAAATGAGAATCAAGTTGAAGACTCTCCACTTTATACACATCCAGCTTTCTCTGCAAATGCACAAGTGAATGGACTGAGACTGAAGTGTGTAACAGTCACACTGAAGACGTTCTGAGAGTGGATGGGGAAATCATTTTGGAGGGGAGATGGGTCAAATAAATATGTAAATAAATTACATATTGATGTAACTGGGGCAGCTTTGGCTCAGGCGGAAAAGCCAGGATATGCATATCACAGTGAAAGCTGAGTCACCCCGTGTGATTGTGTGAAAGTGTGTGTGGATTTAATGAAGCTTGTTATAAGAAAGCACTTTGTGCGGTCAAATAGTTGTTAGTTGAAAGTGTTATATAATTACCAGTCCATGCTAACTTCAGCTAATTATGTATAAAAATGCCTCTCATGAAAAGATAATGAAAATAAGGTTTATCTTTTATTGCTCTGACAGGAAAACTCAAATAAAGGAATAGAAGATGAGGAAAGACGTGACAGGCAGGGATGCCATTCACCTTCACATTCCTACTCCCAGTCACATTCCTGCTCAGTGAAGAACTCCGACTCGAGGACTCGGCACTACCGTCAGAGGTCGAGGACCTGCTCCCCATCACGAGGCCACAGGACGCGCTCCAGGTAGGAAGCAAACTTTGAAACTGTTATACAAACTGTTTCCCTTCAAATCTGTGGGCTGATGATGCTAATTTGCCAAGAGGGCTGCCAACAGTAAATGTGCCGCATTTATTTAGTATTTATTCTACCACAAGTAGACTTTACCTGACGTTCCACATTCATGATTTGGGGATTTATGAACTTCACCAACAATACTTTGACACGCTAACTGGAAAATCTTGGAACTACTACCAACTTTCTTATGTTCAGCTGTCCTCCGATGAATGGTTGACCGACTCCACCTGCCTATTTAAAAGTTAAAGAGACACAATATCTCCCAGTTTATGTAAAATAAATGTTTGCAAAATAATGGCAATATTTATTTTTCCATAATAAATGTTGAGTCCTTAGTAAAATGACCAGGCTTTTAATCAGGTCGTGTTTTGGTTGTGGCTTTTAGATTAAATGTAAAAGTTGAGCTGCTGTGTAAAATATAGATACAAACAGGATGTGGTGATTTGCAAATCTCATAAACTCATTTTATTCACACAAACAGAAAACATATTGAATGTTTAAACGAAGACAGTTCTGTTTTTATTTTTAAAAGTTTTTATTCAGTTTTTATTCGGCTCATTTTGACTTTGGTGGTAGCAACATGTCTAAAAAAATGGAGGAGGATTTTGCAACTAACTGTATGAAACACTCTGTGCTTGATGACAGCACTGTTGATAAATATGTTTCACTGTGATATCACTTCATCCTGCAATTATGTGATTTCTATTTTTACTTGTAGCTCGTCAGAGAAGAAAGATGTAGAAGATGAATCCTTTCATTCCCACCAATGGCCTCCAAACTGGCCCAAGCCACCTCAGGGCAACCTCAGCAACACTGGCAGTAATTTACAAGCAGAAGAGTTGACTGAATCAAGAGGAATAAAGCGGCAGACCTCTAACCACAGTGAAAGAGAGGAAACAGAAAAACTAGGTAAGATCTGTGTGGAATGGACGTTGGTTTTATGGCATTGGTTTCCATGAAGTTGTAATGTGTTGTGATGATTGTGGCTCATAGTTCGTGGGAATCAGATATCCAGGATCTCAGAATATGAAATTCTTAAATTTCAAGTTTGAGGAAATCACTGTTCAAACAGTATAAACACCATGTATCCAGGAAGACGTAGAGGAGTACTGCTGCTGTAACAGCAGGGTCGTTTAATAGAAGAGCGAAAGTGGATCATTGAATGAACCGGATGAACCTGAACTGATTTGTTAAAATGCTGCAGCTTCAGTGGTGGAACTGGTTTAGCTTTCGTCCGTCAGATACACAACAAAGCACTATTTTTGGTAGCGCATGCTAGCGGGCCGTCATTATTACCGAATTGATTTTATGTACACGGCGCTCGAACATCTGTCAAA